GATTAAAATAAATCTGATTATTATCAATAATGATGCTTTTATTTGTATCATTCCGAATAAAATCTTCACGTTTTTGTTTAAGTCGATCAATATCATTTTCAACAAGATTTTCTTGTTCTCGATGAGAACGAGTTTCATTTGTAGTTGATTCAAGTTGTTTTGTTGTTGCTGTTTGTTGTTTATCCGAGGATGTGATTGTGGGTGTGAGTGCATGCATCAGTCTAAGACTTGCATTTTGCAGCGGAGATGTCACAGTAGCTTTTGTGCATTTGTAAATATACCACATATCTAATGGCATATACAGAAAGTGAATGAAATTTTACCTCAATATAGTTTTAAAAATGAAAACAAAATTTTGATCGAGATGGCAATTAGAGACACTCAAAACATGATCATGCAGCATCATTATTTGAGGATGTGTGTATGTATTGGAAAATATGAAAAGAGAATATTCATCCACGTCTTTATTCAAGTGTGAAATGGTGATGAAATCTCGCTATTTTGTTAATGCATATCTTTGTGACTTGAATTGTAGAAAATCCTTGTACGTTTAGTAACAGAGAGATCTTCCATTTAAATTTATTGTTTTGTACAGAGAAATCTTATGCTGATTATATTCTAACAAAAAAAGATCAAATCTCGTGTTTCTTTCGGCAGATTGAATAAAAAAAAATCCAAAATTTTTGCCGTAACAAGTTAAACCTGAGGAAATGTGCGACACATGATGAAAACCAGAAAATTTTATAACTTTAAAAAAAATCATTCTGACGATTTCTGAGACCTTTTATAAGTTTTAAAACATCAGTTTAGGCATGAAAAAAAAAGTGTTTTTAGAAACTGAACAACCTTATTAACTGCTTCATATTAATCGTAAAGTTTTTTGATTTCGTACTTTCTAACAAAGATTTTAATAATCTTTACAAATAACTTTACAAGGCATTATTTAGCAGAAAATTTATGAGACATGATTGAAATGGTATATGTAAGTTCGATGAATTCGACGATATATGACCGATATAGTCTTACTGAAATTAGATAGAAAATCATCAAAAATGTGGCACAAAAAATCATTCTCGATATTTCGACATTAAGGGTATTTTCATTTATCACAAAAAAGAAGGAAATATTTTTTTTTATACGACAGTCATGCGTTATTCCTAAAACTTTCCTTCAAAGAAAATCAAACATATCATTACGTTTTTTTGGTGGTATCAAAATTTAGCATATGTCTATCTGTACGATTTAGTAGAACAGAGAGCAACATATCTAGTAGTAAAAGTATTCAGTAATCCTATGAATGATTAGGCCGATAAATTCAGGCACAATTAGTTCAAACAAAATCTAATGCTGGTACATTTCTCACGAGAAAACTAGCTCTCCGCTGCGATAGAGCTTTGACACTGAGTTATGACTGATGTACTGGATTTTTGGTACTTCTTGGAAAAACAAAATAACTGAATTTCGACAGAAAAGAATACGTTTTTGTCGAGTTATTGAATTATTGAGTGAATTCGATTTTTGTAATCTGTCTGTGACAAAGTGTTTTAGTTTTCGAAAATTCAATATCTTGACAAAAGGACATTCTGTTCGGCTGAAACTTTCGAGATAGTCTAAGAATCATTAGACCTGTATATAAGCAAAATTTTGGATTGAAAGTTTATAATTTAATTTTTCGGAAACTACTCGTCAATGAGTCTAAAACACAATAAGTTAATCATAATCTCGACATCAAAAGCTCATGGGGACGAACTATTTTAGACTTTATCTGAGCTCCACATGAGTTCAAACCGTCAGTGTCATTTCGGTTAGTTCTCTCGTTAGTAAAAGTTGTTCATTGGCTCATCTTCAGTGAGCATTGGGAGCAAAAGAAAATAAGTGTAAGTTGCCATCAACAAGAGAACTTTCAAATGTCATAACTTTTATCATAATCAGCAGAGTAACAAATCTTGAACTTTAATCGGCTGAGCTCTTATTTTCAATTATTCTTGGTATTCAAACATAATAATAAGAAATAAACGGTCTAGTATGCTATTCATCAATCAAAATAAAAAGTTTAACAGTTAGCTTTATTATTTCGATCGTTAGTATATGTCTTGTTTATTTATAACCATTTATAAATACTGATCACATTCTTCTAACTCGATTTCAGTCACATATTGAACATTCTGAGTAAACGAAAGTTGAACTTGATCTATTTTTTTCACTTTAAATACAGAATACGGCATAATTAATATTTCACCTTCATTTGCATATTGAGACAAATCTTCAATATGTAAAGCAGTACGTCGATGTTTAATTCGGTATTTACATAGTATCCACGATTTAATTATTGTTCCATCGACTTTCTGACGTGTCCTTACACTAGTTTGTGATTGTGCCGCTTTATCTTGCCGACATGAAAATAATTCGACAACTTTTCGATCAATTGATGACGACAAAAATGATTTTGTCATTAATAAACAATCAACTTGGTATTTTTTAACATCATCATTATTTATTTGCATTACTCGATAAGCATCGCCAATAAACGTCAATTTTTCCAAGCTATGATGATGTGAAATTAATGCTATAATATATCTTCGTTCGCTTTGATATTGACTAGCACCAGCTGCTATTTCAGTATTCAAAACTCTATAGAAATCTGTTTCAGCTGTGTAAGCTGTAATTATCCATAGGGGATCTTTTTCTTGAGTCGCTTTTTGAAAAAACGTCTGATTTTTTCAATACCACCGATAGTATTTAGTCCCTTGTTAATATAGTTTTTTTCAATTTTCTCGAACATTTTATCGATAGGAGTAGTCTTCGTAGTGTTATCATACAATGATTTAATAAAATGTCGTTCTTCCACTGCTTTTTCCAAAGCATCATTATCAATTAATTCCCATT